TTGTAGTTACAAAAAAAAAAAAAACCCCAAAATTACCAAAGAATGCACAAAATTAACGTTTATTCCACCTTTCTGTCATATTCCTGGATCCTTCACCAATGTTACATGAGGGAAAAACAAAAGCAAAACTAATGAAAAACTGAAATCAGAATCACTAATGTTATCAAGTAGGGAAACAAATAAATTAAAATCTAGCAGCCATCAGCAAGAATACAGCACAGACAATGCTGTAAAAAGAAACAGAAAATTGCTAGAAAACTGGTTCTTCATCATACTCTCAAACCAGCAAAAATATGCTCCTGCATAAAGTGGAACAGAAACAGAACGTTTTTCCTGCTAAGGTACAGATAGTAATGCAAGTTCTCTTTTGAACATTGTGGAAAAGTAAAATGTGTTTATAATGACAATTCTAAGCTACTACAGAGTGGGCCAGGAACACATTTGTGGATTCTGGGGATGATGTACACTGTAATTCTTTGATTGGGATAGTGGACACTCTAGCAAAAATTTGAAAAAGAAAAAGAAAAAGAACACAGACGTACAAGACAAAGGCGAATGAGACTTCTCTTATAGCTTAGCAACATTTAGATGGAATCCAATTTCAACGCAGTCCACTCTGCTTTGATGAGGCTTTGGTTCAGCTCCCAAATCTCGATTGCTTGACGCAGTCTCCTATGAGAATACTCAGAAGGTGTCTTCTTAAACAACAAACCTATTTTTAGTGGTGGAGCCGCTCTTAGTCGCCGTGTCTGCATGGGACTGGTAACCAATCACTATCTTTGGAGGAAGTCCTAACCTCTCCTTGTATACCCTCCTAGAAGACAGAAAACAACGGCCACTGATTTTTAGTCATCGAAAGTTATTTTAAAAAATTATTCTATATTCACCAATTACTAGTCTATTTAAAAAAAAAAATCCCCTCAAGGAAACAGAAGAAAAAGCTGGGACTGGAGAGATGGCTCAGTGTTAAAGAGCACTGGCTGCTCAAGAAGACCTGGGTTCTAGTCCCAGCACCCGCATGGCAGCTAACAACTATCCCTAACTCCAGTTCCAGAGCATCCAGTGCCCTCTTTTGACCTCCATGGTCACTGTACAACACAAGTGCACTTACACACATGCAAGCAATACACCCATATACAAAAGATAAAAAGAGTAAGTTGCTGGGTATGGTGGCACACCTTTAATCCCAGCACTCCGGAGGCAGAGGCAGGCAGATCTCTGTGAGTTCAAGGCCAGCCTGGTCTACATAGTGAGTTCCAGGCCAACTGGGGCTACAAAGAGACCCTGTCTCAAAAAGACCAAAAAATAAAAAAGTAAGTTAAAAAAATATTTTTAAAGCCGGGCATGGTGGCATATGCCTTTAATTCCAGCACTCGGGAGGCAGAGGTAGGTGAGTTCAAAGCCAACCTGGTCTACATAGTGAGTTCCAGGCCAGCTGGGGCTACAGGAAGATGCTGTCTCAAAAAGACCAAAAAGAAAAAAACAAAACAAAACAAAACCCAAAAACAAAAAAAAAAATTTAAATTCTTTTCCTTTTGGCATAATTAGCAAAACTTAGTATTTTCACAAACATATTTAATCACTTTATAAATGAGATTCCATCAGGTCCATTAAGGTAGTGCAATAATTATTACTAAACCAATAGTGAACAAAGCAAGGTCAGTCCCTGGGTTCACAGCTTTCACAATTCAATAATCATAAATACCTATGAAGGAAGTATACCACATGTATATATTTAACTTGCTTAAAACTAAAGAACATGCACATGTCTACTCTCATTCTGTGATCTAAAATGTTAAAATTAAGCTGGGCACAGTGTCATACACTTGTAATCCCAGCACTTAGAGAAGACTGAGGTAGGAGGAGGCCGCCCTGATTCACTGACTATTTTATAAAAGACTCTTAAACCAGACTAGTTTACAAGATACTGTCTCAGAAAAAGAAAATCAAGTAAAATGTCACAAGTAGATTTTACATATAAATTCTATTCTGCCTTACGGCTAACTTTACAACCCCAATTTTCAAACTAGATGTGATTACTCTAAGACCAAAATGTGATGTGCACAAACAAGATTAAGTATACAGTCTATGGACGCTATACAAACTAGAGGATCCAACCTCATCAGTAATACTAGAAAAAATTCCCCTTTAAAAATCAAGAGATTTGGGAGCTGGAGAGATGGCTCAACAGTTAAGGGATTAGTTACACTTACAGAGGAACTGGGCTCAGTTCCTAGCACCCACAAAGCAGCTAACAATGAACTCCTGTTCTAGGGGATCCAGAGCCCTCTTCTGACCTCTGCAGGCATTCCATGACATGGGTGCACTTAAATACATGCAGGTAAAACACTCATACACATAAAAATAAATTTTTAAAATTTTTGAAAAAGCTCTTGAGGTTTTTAAAATTTGATCTTAATAGAAGGAAGGACTTTTGAAGGTTGAAAAACAACAAGAATCTATTTTTAAAAAGAAGCAATGGGCTGGAGAGATGGCTCAGCAATTAAGAACACTGGCTGTTCTTGTAGAAGATACAGGTTTGAGTCCCAGCACCCACATGGCAGCTAATAACTGTCCGTAACTCCAGTCCCAGGGGATCCGACAGCCTCTTCTGACATTCGTGGGCATTGCACAACACGGGTGCGCTTACCTACATGCAGGCAATACACGCATACACACAAAATAAATATTAAAAAATAAAAATAAAGAAGCAAATGGCCTGCACATAAATAGGAAGGAAGGCTGACAAGATCTAGAAGTAAAACAGATCTCAGAGAAGCTCACTTGCAAACTCTGGAAATCTGAATTTTATTTTATAAATGTTTTGCCTACACATATTTAAATACATATATGTAAGTGTACCACAATGCCCACAGAGGCCAGAAGAGGGTGTCAGATCCTCTGGAGCTGAAGTTATAGATGGCTGTTACCTGCCATGTGGGTACTAGGAACTGAACCTGGGTCTTCTGGAAGAATAGAAAGTGTTTTGTTTTGTTTTTAAAAAAAATTATTATTTTTATATTGTGTGTGTGTGTGTGTGTGTGTGAGTGTATTGCCTGCATGTATGTAAGTGCACCCAATGCCTGTGGAGGTCAAGAGAGGGCATTGGATTTCTGGAACTGGAGTTATATATGGTTATTAACTGTCATGTGGGTACTGGGAACTGAACCCAAATTCTCTGCAAGAACATTCAGTGCTCTTAATGACTAGTCCATCTCTCCAGTCCCGTAATCAAATTTTTAATTCTCAGGAAAACAAATCAAACATTCAAAAACAAGCAGCAAGCCTGGGCATGGTGGCACATGCTTTTAACCCTAGCACTGTGGAGGCAGAAGCAGGCAGATTTCTGTGAGATCAAGGCCAAGCCAGTCTACACAGTGAGTCCCAGGTCAAGGGCTATAGGAAGACGCTGTTTCAAAAAGATACCACCTCCAAAGCAGTTATTAAAGACTCATTTTCATGGAGTTAAACTGCCCAACCTGATACTAAAATAGGTTTTTTAAATACTTTATCCTACAGCAAAATCTAAGTTCCTCCAAAGAGATATCTAAAACTAATTTTTGAAATAAACTGATTAAGTACGAGATTATAATATTTCCTTCCTTAAAATATACGTTACCATTAAAAATGCTAACGAGGGAACAATGAACAACAAAAATACCTTAGAGAGACTGCAAAAACATAATGCTGATACAAAAACAAAACTTGGTAAACAAATCCCTGTTTTTCAAAGAAATATTAAGCTGGGGCTGGTGAGATGGCTTCTTGGCGGTTAAGAGTGCTGGCTGTTCTTGCAGAGGACACCAATCCCAGCGTCCACATGGTGGCTAACAACCATTTGTAACTCCAGCTCCAGGGGAATCCAAGGCCCTCTTCTGACCTCCATGGACACTGCACAACATGAGAGCACTTACACACACAGAGGCAATACACTCATACATATAAAATTAAAAAAAAAAACAAGCTTCCACAATTAAAGTTGTGGTACCAACAGAAAGACGGCAAATGCCAGGTGAAGGTGGAACTCCCTTCTCCCCTATGCCTTTCAATCTGGAACAGAATGAAGATAGAAGCAATGTTTAAAATGTCACAAAGGGACAAAATATACTGTGACCAAGGACCGACAGTGCTTAGCTTTAACATGAAATTTAACATCAAATTTCACTAATTTAGCCTCAGCATAGTGGTGGTGCCTGTCTATAATGACAGCACTTGGGAGACAAAGCAGGAAGGCCAAAGTTCAAGGCCAGGCTAGGCAACATTGGGAACTCAGGTCAACATCATGTAGCAAGATTACCTGAAAAAAGAAACAAACAACAAAACCCAACTTTAAAAAAAAAAGAACAACCCTAATTTCCATGTAATCAAAAAGAATTCTAGCAGGGCCGGAGAGGTGGCTCTGGGGTTAAGAACACTTGTTCCTGCAGAGTGAAGGTTTAGTTTCTAATACCTACATGACAGCTCAGAATAATTTGAAATTCTAGTTCCTGAGATCAGAGGTCCCTTCTGTTCTTCATGGCACCAGGCATGCAAAGTGCTATACATTATATACATGTAGTCACACGCATACACACAAAATAAAATTATCTTAAGAGAGGCAGCTGTTTTCAAAGACAATTCTAACAAAACTGATATTTGATTAAAAAAAAAAGACACTTGTGCAAAAAATATAAGTAACCAAAACAAAATACAAAAAACTATTAAATATGTGTTTTAAATAGCAATAAAATCCAAGATATATCCCTTGAAATTTCAAAAACTGTTTTACAGAAATGAAAACATATAAAATGTACTCAATATTAACAGGAGTCCAAACTGTAAATGTTCAAGAAAACACTATGAAGAAAATTAGTGGTTTGCAAATCCAAGTATTTTTAAAGCTATATGTAAAACACTTCTGGATTTAGTTATTTTGATACTGACAAAGAAGTAGGTAGAGTAAAAACATACCCTATGTGTGTAACTGCTTCTCTGTTTTCACATTCAGTAAAACAGTTTTTGTCACTATCTTTGGAGGAAGTCCTAACCTCTCCTTGTATACCCTCCCTATGTGTGTAACTGTTTCTCTGTTTTCACATTCAGTAGTCCATATTGCTATCTTATCACCTTTAGCTCTAACATTAACAACAACTCCACATACATCATCACTGTAGTCATCAAAAGATTCTCCAATAAGGCACAGCAGCTATATATATATAAAAAAAATTCCAAATTAGATTCAAAAAGATATTAAACAACCTCCTTTCTATTTGTACATTATAAAACTAACATCAGCCTTTAAATTCAGAGTTGACTTTTTTTTTTTTCCAGTCTTTTTTGAGACAGGGTCTCTCCCTGTAGTCCCAGCTGGCTTGGAACTCACTACGTAGACCAGGATGGCCTTGAACTCACAGAGATCTGCCTGCCTCTGCCTCCCAAGTGCTGGGACTAACGGTGTACACCACCACGCCTGGCCACAGTTGACTTTTTAAACAGGACAGGTTGAGGCAGGACAGCCTAGGTTCAAAGCTACCCTGGGCTATACACACAGACAAAAACAAAGCAAACAAATAGAGTTGACTGCTTCAGCACTCAGGAGGCAGAGGCAGGTGGATCTCTGTGAGATCAAGGCCAGCCTTGTCTACACAGCAAGTTCTAGGCCGGCTGGGACCACAGGAGACCCTGTCTCAACAAAACAAAACAATTAAAAAATGTACTGCAGCAATGTTGTAAAAACTAAGTCACAAAAACCATGAGATCCTATAATTCTGTGATGACAGGGACCTGATTGGGGAAGATGAGTTAAATGTCAATTACTTTGTTACCTGACTTATGAGGAAATCAGTCCCTGATCTCACAGGTACAGGATAAAAATACTTGCCAGATATCACATGCCTATAATCTCAACACTGAAGCAGAGCCGGCACTGGATTTTAAGTTCTGTTATCACCCTAGGATATGTAGTTAGGCCAGCCTAATCTACATTGTGAGACCCTGTCTCAAAAGACTAAAAAAAGGGAAAGCACAGGTTGATGATATAGCTCAGCAGGAGAGATCAGCATGGCATGCACAGGGACTTTGCTTTTTTCTTTCTCTGAACACATCTTTGCTCTGTTCTCATCTGCTCCCCTCCTGTCCTTTCCCACCCTCCCTTTCCTGCTCACTCTTCTACTTTCCTACCACACATACCCCATTACCCTAATAACTCCCACCTCAATATCACTTCCTACCCTCTCATGCCCCTTGGTAGCTTCATGACCCACAAACATACATTACGTAAGCACATACACATACATGTGATTTTAAATCTAGATTCCACATATGAAACATGCAGTATTTTTCTGAGTCTGACCTAGTTTGCTTAACACAGTAATTCCCAATTGCATCAAAAATTCAGAATGCTTCAGGAATCTTTCCTGCCATCTTGCACAGGGGTCATGCTAATCTCTGTTTCCTTCTAATTTTAGCAAATGTACCACTGAATACCGCAAGGACTGTTCTGGTACAGGTACTCCCTCTACTGCCTTTCAGTAAAAGTCAAAGAAAAATACATTCTAAAAGTGGTTAATAATTTTAAAACCTTACTGTCTCTAGCCAAAAGCGATCCAGGTCACTTCGTCTCTGCTGTTTGTTCAATGTAATTAGCCATCGCCCTCCCCGTTTGTTTTTCTCATCTTCCCACATAGGCTCAATACCATCCTAGAGAGTTAAGAACACAGTATTAGACAATACTATTACTTAGTTTCTGAGAGACAACCATCAGAACCAACAGACAACACTGTCAACCTTTTAAGTGCCACTGGTGCAATTTTAAAAAGCACACGGTGACATGAGACTACAGCAGAGTGCAATTTCATCACTAAATATCAAATCTTGAGATTTCACTTCATGTGGAGGCTTTTAAAATTCCCGAGGAGCACACAAAAACTTTTTAGAAGCTACAGCCCCCTCAACAGAACACATTACAAATTATGTAATTTGAGCTAATGCATGTCTTAGCCTCCCATCACCTGACAAAGGTCTGTTTATAAATACCTCATGAGATTAAAAATAGCTGACAAACTCAGTCGACTCAAATTTATCAAGAGGACTTCACCAGGAGGACTAGCAAAGGGCTCATCAAAATCAATCTCAATGTGCCCATGAAGTAATGTTCTTGTAACTTTGATAGACTCATAATATAGGCCACTATACACTAAAGCCTAGTAAAGCCAATTTCCAAAGTTCACAAACAAGAGTTCTTAACAAATACCTGAATGGTTCAATCCAGTGATAAATATAAGCAATCACTAATTAAACATACCTTAAAAAGTGAGTAGTCACAGCCAGGCATTAAATTACTAGACAACTGGATATGGTTGTATAGACTAGGTAAAAGAAAATAATAATTAAAAACATACATAATGCAGGTTTGGTTTCTTATGTATATAATACACACATTTGATAAATGAGTTATTTCAAATGCTTTTATTTTAACAAAAATATTTCAATAGATTTGTTAACATGAACATATGCATAAGAAACTGAAAGGTATGTTGTTGCTTTAAGGAAATCAATGAATTTATAAGGCTAATGAACAATTCTGTTTGTTTACAAACATACTAAAGAAAAAATTGAGAGAAAAGATGACTAGCTGACCATCAGCTAGACTTCAATAGTCAACATTACTATCCTTGGAAAAATTTAAGAGTAAACGGACTAGCGGTTCTCAAACACTCAAGCTGTTACTCCTTAGTCAGCACGTATCAGGGAGCTTTATAAAAATATATACATACATACACATGTATGTTCTACCCTTTAGGATCATAAGCACATACTACAAAAAAGGCTGGATCTATATTTCTCAACTATTTCCTGAATACTTAAATATAACTAGAACAGCATCTGAGATACTTTATACTTGATACTCACTTGCCTGAAGGTAGAAGCCTACACCATTTATCACTTGTAGTCTCTTACAGTAAAAATGATTTAAAAATTGGCAGAATGTTTTGCCTGTCTCCAATATCAGATGGTAGAAATTATCTTAGCTCCATGTCTATAAACCTTATAATACCATTATCCTTAGTTAGGTTCTCTTATCATATTACATAGTATAAGATACCTAATGTAACACAGTATAATCAAATTTATATTAAGAGCATTCTCATGCTTAAGGTTTGTTAAATCAATTATCTGAAGATTCACTGTTCCCAAACCACAATCTTTTTTTTAATTTTTAATTTTTTTTATTTTTGTCTTTTTGAGACAGAGACAGAGTCTCCTGTAACCACAGCAGGCCTGGATGCCTTCTGCCTCATGAGTGCTGGAATTAAAGGCGTTCGCCACCATGCCTTCCAAACCACAATCTTAAGAATCTTAAGATACAGACTAGATAAAAAGCAAAAGAACTCAATGGCTGTTTATACAAAATTTGTTAGACAAACAAGTAATGAGGAAGTGGCTTAGGTATTTAAAGGTGGAAGATCTCTTCAAATTTCTAAATTAAAGCAGAAAATCTATTATCCAATGACTTTGCTTTTAACTAAAGTGTGGCAGTGCTCTAATTAAAGGACAAATTAGAAATACAATTATATAAAGTGGTAAAAGCCAGACAATCTAGGCCAGTGCAAATATGACTGGAGGCAGAGCTCAAGACTGTTCTTTTCTATCTGTGGGACACTGGAGAGCTTTTTATGTAAGGGGAGGAGGCTAGAGAGTTATTCAAGAGTCTTGAATAAACATAATTAGAGAACAAAAACCACTTCATGCTTTCAAGAGGCCAAAACAGGATAACCCCAATTTAAATAGCCATGTAGATCTATTAACTGGTAGAGATCAAATGTAGTTTTATCATTTTTAAAAGCTTATTTTTTTGGTCTCACTATGGTAGCTCTGGCTGGCTTGGAACCTGCTATATAGACTAGACAGGCATCAGCCTGCCTCACCTCCAAGTACTGGACTAAAGGCCTGTGCCACCATGCCTGGCCAAAACCTAAATGCTTTTAATAAAAAGAATGACTACTCATATTGGTTAATTTCATAATTTACAGTTTTCTTTATGCTTTGCTTTTTTCAATAATGCAATGTATACTAAATGGCTATTACACACCAAGCACTGGAAATCCACAGAAAAACACTGCTTTGCCCTTGAGAAATATACATCTATCAATTTTATGACCAGAATTTATTTTGACCCTAACATAGACAGATACATAAACTAGATAACTGCGGGGTAATTCAAAGTTCTTCCATTTTTAGTTAAGCAAGTTTTGCCTTTCATGGTCTCTATTCTCCAACTAAATAACACACAAATTGAACTTGGGAGGAGCTGGGAAAGCAGCTCACTGGTACAAGATCCAGGGTTTGACCCTCACAGAACAAAAACCACTGTTTTAAGACAACTTCTTAGGTGTGGCAGTGTACACCTGCAATACTAGCATTTGTGAGGTTAAAGCAGGAAGATCCTGAGTTAGGCCAGCCTGGGCTAGGTACAGAGTACTAAGATAGTCTCAGCAGCTTAGCTACACTCTGTCTCCAACAAAACCTTGAAAATGACTTCTCAATTCATGTTCTGTTTTTAAGTCATGTTTTTCAAGTTTATCACAAAGTACAATGAAATTAGTGAACCAACACCACCACATATCCTCTCCTCTCAATATTCCTTATCACTTCAGCCTTTGATATCTCAAAATCCTGAGCATGGAATTCTGGATATTGCACTGAAAAATGTTTGTAGAAAAGGGAATCCGTTTAACAAGACTCCAATATACAGTTGTGACAAAAATGTATGTAGGCACCTATAAAAGGGAATGAGTTCCAAACAGTGGTCAAAAATTCAAGGGCAATAAAGGAGGACTCTCAGGAAAACAAGGAATAGGCAGACTTAAAGACTGACTATACTGAACCCTTTTTTTCTTTTCTGGTGTTATGTTGTGGGGGAGGGTTGCTGGAAATCAAACAGAGGGCCTTGTACATACCAAAAAATGCATTCTTAGGCATAATCATCAATTCAACCATTTATAGAGACAAATATCAGTTTCATTAAGTTTATCCTTCAGTTTGTCAATGTGACACAATATGAAAAATCATACAACTTAAAAAACAGTAAGTATGCTAAAATAGTTACTTACGCCCAAAAGTCTTCAACAGTATCAAACTTAGAGATCAATCGAAGGTTTGCTTGCCAAGTTTTGCTTTTATCATTTTTAAAAAACCACAGTGCCCACCTAAAAATAAAAAGCCAGCATATAAAAAATTACAGTTCCCATGTTCATAGCAGAATTATTCACGAATCAAAAGATAGTTCACGTGTCAAAATGTAGTTCTGACATACAATGGAAAATGGGCCTTAAAGACTTAAATTCTGACACAATATAAAATGGATGAAGTAGCACATGGTACTAAATCCAGTCACAAAAAGAAAGATAGTCTATGACCCTACTTCTATGACGTACTTAGGGTAGTCAGATTCACAGAGGCAACTAGAGTGGTGCAAGTTCCGTAAAGGTGGGGGGTTTGCAGAATAGGGAGTTATTTAATGGATTAGATAATTTTAATTTAAAAGATGAAAACAAGCCCAGCAAGGTAGCACATGCCTTTATAGTCCTAGCACTCAGGAGACAGAGGCAAGTGGATCTCTGTGACACTGAGGCCAGCCTGGTCTACATAGCGAGTCCTAGGCCAGCTGGGGCTATGGGAACAACCTGTCTCAAAAACAAAAACAAACAAACAAACAAAACCCATAGAAGGGCCATGGAGATAGCTCAGCAGACAAAAGCACTTGCAGCAGAGGCCTGGTATCTTCAGTTTGGATCCCTGGAACCCATGTAAGAGCTGGACTTGGTTTGTCCTCTGATCTGTACATGCCCATGGCACATGTAAACCCTCATATGCAAATATGCACAGACACAGAAAGATTTTTTGTCCCATCTCAGAGACCCACCTGCCTCCGTCTCCCCAGTGCCACTAAAATAAAAGGTAGGTGTATGCCACCACACCTGGCAAAAATAAAGATTTTTGTAAAAGAAAGATAAAAACACGTTTTGGAGATTAGCTATGCAGTAATGTGCATGTAAATAACATTACTAAACTGTAGGTTTTTAAAAGGTGAGATAGTGTGGCATGGTGGCACATGCCTTTAATCCTAGCAGTCTGGGAGGCAAAGCGTTCTAGGTTGTTCCTCCAATGCTGTGACAAAACACTCTGACCACTACCAACTTGGGGAGGAAAGGCTTTACTCAGCTTACATCTCTCAGGTCACACTTCATTAGGGAGCCCAAGGCAGGAACTCCGGGCAGGAACCTGGAAGCAGGAGCTGGAGCACAGGCCATGGAGGATCAATGCTTACTGACTTGCTCTCCTGGCCCCTGGCTCAGCCTTTCTTATGCAACATAGGCCCACCTGCCCGGGGTGGCACCACCCACAGTGGGCTGGGCCCTCCCACATCACTCACCAATCAAGAAAATGATGTAGAGCCTAATAGAAGCCCAATGAAGGCAATTCCCCAATTGAGGCTCCCTCAACCCAGGTATGTCAAGTTGACATTAAAGCTATCCAGCACAACTGACCCCTTGTCAACTTGACACACAAACACATCACTATTAAACCATAACCTTTCCAATTCTTGCCCCCAAGATATGTTAACATTAGTATCACAACATAAGACAGCACAACCTCAAAAACCCTGCAGTACTTAAAAAATCCAAACACTTAAAAGTCCATAGCCTCTTTTAATAGGCTCTTAACTGTGGGTGGGCTTCTGTAAAATCCAAAACAAGTACTGTCTTATTTCAAAGGGAAGAATCAGGCACACCTAAGCAAAACCAAAGTCCTGCAAAGCAGTTCAGGGCTGGACATCTGGGATTCCCTCAGGATCTTCTGGACTCCAAAGGGTTCTCACAGCTCCAACTTGTTTTGCAGACCCAGGCCAGCTCCATTCCACACCTACTGCTGTCTTTGGTGGTCGTCCCATGGTCCTGGCATCTCCAAACAGCTGGGGTCTCCACCGATGGCCTCTTCTTGCCTCTTGGGGTGCAAAGCCTCAGATTCTCTCCATAATCCCTTCAATCCTGGGGTCTTCACTGCAACTGAAGCTGCACTTTCACCTATGGCCTTTCCTGGTCTCTCAGAGTGCCAAGCCTCAGCTGTTCTCTGTGACCCCTTCATGCTTTCAATACCAGAAGCATGCAGGAGACTCTTACACATTATCAAGTCCTGCTTCTAGATTGAGATAGAGGTTCAGGTCCCCTCTGTGTGCTGACCCTGAGGAAATACCTCCCAGAAGACTCTATCACAGTGATGCTGGTCTCTTGTTACTTACAGCTGATTCTTCAGCCCCAGCCGACCAGAACCCACAGATTCTCAATCCAAAATCTCACATGAACAGCCCTGACAGTCTCTGCTTCCCTTTCAAGCTTCACAAGCCAGGACTCCATTACCCACAACTCTTTCAGCATAACTGTTCCAAGGTCCACAGCAACAAACTCTAAGCACTCAATGGCTTTTTCAGCCCAAAGTTCCAAACACTTCCACAATGCTCCTTAAAACACCAAGGTCAGGTCTGCCACAGCAATTCCCCACTCTCTGGTACCAATTTCTGTCCTAGTTTGTTTCTCCATTGCTGTGACAAAGCACTCTGACCACTACCAACTTGGGGAGGAAAGGCTTTACTCAGCTTACATCTTTCGGGTCACACTTCATTAGGGAGCCCAAGGCAGGAACTCCGGGCAGGAACCTGGAAGCAGGAACTAGAGCACAGGCCATGGAGGATCAATGCTTACTGACTTGCTCTCCTGGCCCCTGCTCAGTCTGCTTTCTTATGCAACACAGGCCCACCTGCCCAGAAGTGGCACCACCCACAGTGGGCTGAGCCCTCCCACATCACTCAACACTCAAGAAGGTGCCCCATGGACATGGCCACAGGCCAGCCCAATGAAGGCAATTCCCCAAGTGAGACTCCCTCAACCCAGGTGTGTCAAGTTGACACTAAAGCTGTCCAGCACACAGAGGCACGCAGATCTGAGTTCAAGGCCAGCCCAGTCTACAGTGAGACAGTCTTTAAAAAAAAAAAAAAACCAACAATCTAAAGAGGTAGTTTCTAATACAGTGGCAATTTTTATGTTTTCTTTGGTAGAGTAGTTGCCTAGTAATGTGAGGCCTTGGGTTTGATCCGTACCACAATTAAGAAAAAAGCAGCATTGTATAACAATTACATAACAGATTCTCTGCTATAGCTAGAGCCTTCCAAGGTTAACTACAGAAATTCAGAAGACAAGTACAGTGTCTTCTGAAACAATATGACAGATAAGAATAGAAGCACTTAACCACAAGGTGATAAGGAAGGGTCACTCTTTTTTTTTTTTGAAACAGGGTCTCCCTGTAGCTCCAGCTGTACTAGAACCCACTAGGTAGACCAGGCTGGCCTTGAACTCACAGACATCTGCCTGCCTCTACCTCTCAAGTGTTGGGATTAAAGGCATGCACCACTTCTCCTGGCTCAAAGGCTCATTCTTGAGGGACAAAGAACTGCTAGCCAAGAGTACAGGAGGAAGGGGAAAGCATTCAATGTGACGCTGTATTCAAACACAGTGGGAAAACAAAGGAACTGTGCTAGCTAGATCTACAGGGACATCTTAAAACAATGCATACCAATTTATTTACACACACACACACACACACACACACACACACATTTACTTTGGCTAAAAGTTTTATTCCTAATACATAGTAATTTATACAAACCCAATGTATTATATATTACAGTTTCTCTAACTGACAATAAATTCATATTCTCTGAAATAGAATACAGCTCTTGGAACCCATGGTTTCATATCCTCAAGTTGTACATCAGATTCAATCATACTCAGAAAATATTTGGGAGAAACATTTGTACCTGTTCTGAATATAATTCTTTCTTAAAGAAGTCAGCCTACCAACTTTTTACATTGTATTACATAATATAATCTAGAGATTATTTAAGTCTCCCAGGAGTATTTGCACAGGAGGATGTGCAAATACATCATTTTAAGTAAAGCATCCCCAGAAGCCTTGGAACCAAGCCTACAAAAATTATGATCTCAGCTGGGTGTGGGGGCTCAGGCCTATAATTACAGAACTCAAAGAGGCTGAGGCAGAACACCTGCCAGGAGTTCGAGAAAAGCCTGGACTACACAGCAAGTGCCAGCTATGCTGGGCTACACTGTAAGACCTTGCCTCACTACATTTCCTTCTGTCCACGTCGTTCATGTGTTCTACATAGAAAAGACTTCTATTGTATAACAAAATTCAAATTGTTTGAATTGTAATATAAACTACTTTAATGGAACATCATTTCACTTGAACAATTGATAAACTACACTTATTTCTTGAAAAAATAAAATAGTGAGTTTTCATGATACAAACCCTAATATGGAAATCTTTTGTTTGCTGCAGTAAGCCTAACAATTTCACAAAACATTCTGATGAGTTTAGGGGACATGTTTTTTTTTGATATTATATAATGAAATGTCAGCATTTAAGATCTGCATTAATTCACTGAATTATTTTCTACACCAGCATTAAACCAAAAAAAAAAAAAAAAAAAAAAAAAAAATCCACACATGGGTAAAAGACCTGTCCTAAATATAAGAAAAGTCAATGGATCCGGCCACAGTGGCCCACATCCTTAATCCCAGCACTTGAGAAACACAGGCAGGTGGATCTCTATGAGTTCCAGGCCAGCCTCGACTATATAGCGAGTGCCAAGACAGCTGGGGCTACAGGGAGACCTTGTCTCAAGAAGACAAAAAAAAAAAAAAACCCAAAAAAACAAAACAAAACACCACAATGGATTTCAGTGCAATGTCTTAGTGTCTTAGTATTTCTAAGAATAGTTAAGCAGCAAGAGACAAAAATCAAAGCTCTGTTGATTCCAAACTGTTTAAAGTAAAAAAAGACCAAACATTTGGGAAGTTACTGGGGGAAAAAAATGACATTACTACACACCTATTAAATTAAAAAAATTACTATGGAGCTGGAGAGATGGGTTAGTAGCTAAAAGAACTGGCTGCTCTTGCAGAGGACCCAGTTTCAGTTCCCAGGACCCATATGGCAGCTAACAACCTCTGTAACTCCAACCTGGCCTACACACTGAGTTCCAGGTCAGTTGGGCCTACAGAGAAACCCTGTCTCAAAAAAAAGGAGGGGGGGCAACACAAGAAATGCATGAACCTTTCAGAAATCAGTCTGGTACCCACCTGGTAGGCAACAAATTAAAAAAAAAAAAGAAAATCAGTAGTGCAGTCTTTCGTACCTAACTACACATGGGCACATTTAAAAGCTCTGGAAAAACATAAACCAAATTTAATATTGGGGAGGGAGGAAAAGTGAGACAGATTAAATAAGCAAAAAACTCTGTACTGTATAACTAGCTGTCCCTGTTTTATTTAATCTTCTGATTACTGTGGATTAACGAGAAAATACGAAAACCCTGCAGTATCTATGATAAGTCAATAATGATGAATTTACCAATATTTGAACTATAAAGAATTTTATATTTTCTCAAATGGTCGTTTTATTTTATAAAAACACAGAATTTATTGAAAAATTTAAGTCTCTAGAGATTTAATACATTTGTTTACTGATAAAGTACAGTAATTTCTTCTCTGATTTCTTTCAAACTCTGAGGGATTTGACTTGATTACGTCTCTTAACAGTTAATACCAGCACTAGTTGCTGTGTTCACAGAAAACTAAAAGGTACAGAGTTATGATATTGTAAACACCACTGAAAGCATGCTACACTGTCATGAATTATATGAACCTGCTATTCAACCCTCCCGAACCTTTTAAAGTGAAACAGAGGGCTGAACCCAGCCAGGGCTTTGTACTTGCTAGGCAAATGTTGTAACACTGCACTACATCCCCAGCTTTCAGCCTATATTGCTAAGGAACAATTCCACCCTTGAGGTATAACCTGACAGTCTTCACTGTCATAAAAGCAACCAAAAAAAACCTGATTATGTTCTTCACTGAAGGGCATGCATGTACCATAGGGTCTCCAATGAAAAAATTCCATAAATTATGTTTGATTATCATTTCAGTATATGTACATATCACATGATATTGAAGGACAAAAAATATGAAACTAAATTATAAACATAGAGGCACCTACAGGCTTTCAAGAAAAAGGAGTAAAAGGGCTGCCTTAAAATAATGTAAATAAAAAGCTGGGTATGGTGGTGCATGCCTTTGATTCTAGTCCCCAAGAGGCAGAGGCAGAAGGATCTCTGTGAGTTCAAGGCCAGCCTGGTCTACATAGGCCAGCTGGAGCAACAGGGAGACCATGTCTCAAAAACACCAAAAAAAAAAAAAAAAAAAGAGAGAGGAAGGAGAGGGAGAGAGAGGGGGGGGGGAGGAGGAGGGGAGAGAGGAGAGAGGAGAAAAAACAAAAAGAGAGAGAGAGAGAGAGAGAGAGAGAGAGAGAGAGAGAGAGAGAAAATCAGAAAGGACTGAATCCTCAGAAATCAGTTCCAATGTACTTTTCTCTAAGTTCATTCACAGACACCTGAGCTGCCACTTTCTTACCACCATCAGCTTTCAGTGAAGTTAAATTAATTTCATTATATAATCCACAAAAACACTAAGTAAAACCAGAACCATCCTGGGAAGGAGTAGGTGAAGCTGGGGAAAACAAACCTTATTATGAACTAGTATTCATCTTCTGTTACACTGTTAAATATGAAAACCAGCCTCATTTTCATTTCTCTCCTCTTCTCTAATTGTCTCTTAATGCAACAATCAACCTCTAGCCTCTCTGTATGTCTCCCTTCTCAGTTCAACTTCAAGTTGGCTATTCTTGCTTTCAATCTCTGTCCTATTCATTTTTCAAAATGCCCCAACCTTATTCCTTCATCTACATAAAAACCTTTGCTCTAAGCAAAGATTTTTTTTACTTTAATTGTTCAACTCAATGGAAACCCTGCTTTGATCTTTTGGGCACATTTGCTGTTGGGCACTCCATGTTCTTGGTTCCAGGACCCTCCAACTGTCTTACTATGAGTATGTCCTTAAGAGGAATTCTCATCAACAAAAATTCTCTACGGGCAAACCTCAGTGTTTGTCCTGAGTCAAGTCTGCTTTTATTTAAGACAAATAATATATTATTCTACCTTTAACTCCTATCAATATACAGATGAATTAATTTCAAACAAACCTCCACCTAGTTTTCTGAGCTCAAGTTTCATAAACTGCTTGTGGATCAAAGGTCGCTTGAATGGAAATGGAACTCTCAACCTAAGGGTATCTAAGCCAGTCATACCCAACTTTGCTTTTAAACCTGTCCTATGTGGCAGATTTAAAGCTTACCTTGTTACCCAAGTCAGAAAACCTGTGCCAGAAAGTTTACCTGTTCTGTAGAGGATGTTTAATATAGTGCTCTGGGTTAGCAACCTCCTGATTAGATTCTGTTTTATCCTCTTCCGTAGGTGGGGGATTAGTAGTAGGAGTGGTTTCCTAGTAGAAAATAATATAAAACAGGATTTAAAATTTTTTAAACAATCATGACAGCAATATTGCAAATAAATTTGAGCTAAAGAATTAGACCAATCATTTCCTAAAGCAGACTACAGACCAACCTCTAAATGAACCAGATTATCCTAGTTCTTAAGAGAAAAAGGTTTCTCAAATTAAAAAAAAATTTTTAACGTTTCTCAAATATAAAAATTACATTAAAATTTTTATATGTCCTCCCACTTGCACAGTTTTTAATACCAAGATCATCAAAGATTATGCAATAAAATTCAAAGACCCAATTATCTTTAACATATACTAAAATACTGTGTGAGGGCTGGGGATGTAGGCCAATAGTAAAACATATCCTAGCATGCACAGGGCAGAAGCACACACACACTCACACACAATGAGATGCCATCACGGGGCAGAGCAGAGAGGTAAAGCATAACAACTATACTGCAATGATGAAAAACAACAATAAAAAGCAATTTTCTGCAGGGCGTGGTGGCGCATGCCTTTAATCCCAGCACTCGGGAAGCAGAGGCAGGCGGATCTTTGTGAGTTCAAGGCCAGCCTGGTCTACATAGTGAGTTCCAGGATAGCTGAGGCTACAGGGAGACCCTGTCTCAAAAAGACCAAAATAAAAAAAAGCAGTTTTCTAAAGTGGTCAAGCCAGCAGTGCAGAGGCACGTGTCTCCATTGATCCCTGGAAGAACACTGAAATTCTCAGCTGCAACAATGAAAATGGTGAACGCTGACTAGGACATTATTCTTCTTTTAGGCACAAACCTGAATATATAAAAATGAGGAGGAGCCTGGAAATAATCTAAAGCTAGAATTCACTACTTTCTTCTTTATTCAGTCTATAAACAGGTCTCAACAAAGAATAGCCAGGCAAGGCATTAGAAGCTGAAACAAACGTCAGTGCCGGCGCAGAGCGGGCAAACACAAACACCCATACCCTCACACCCACAGGCACTGTAACAGCATTTGGTCACCAACTTTTAAGATGTAAAAAATATTTATTACATGAAATTATCAGAAAAAAAGTGATGGGGAGATATGGGAGGAGTTGGAGGGGAGGGAGTGGGCATGGATTTGATCAAAACACCTTATATGCATGTATGAAATTCTCAATAATTTATTTATTTAAAAACTAAGAAAATGGGCTAATATTACAGATGCGCTCCAAAGGCTCCTTTTGAGGATTACCGAAAGACCTTTGTTTAAACATTATGAATCAATATCAATTTTTATTAAGTCTTTATAAAACTAAAAAAAAATTTATTTATGTATTCATTTCTCAGTGCTGGGTATCAAGTCTAAGGCCTTGTTTGTCCACTTAACTACAATCCCAACCCAAGAATTTAAAGTGAACCATGAAAAGAGATGTATGTCACATAACAAGATATGTAAAGTCAGCTATGTATGCTCTAAAAGGCCTCAAACCACAGGTGGTAAGCACTCTTTTTTTTGGTTTTGAGAGAGGGTCTCCCTGTAGCTGCAGCTGGCCTGGGTTTTAAAACATCAACATGTAACATACGCAGGAACAACTTCATTCTCTTAGCCTATAAATTACTCAGGGATCAAAGAGATGGCTCAGCAGGTAAAGGTGCTAGCTACCCTAACCTAATGTCCCGAATTATATCCCTGGAACAGATGTGGTGGCAAACACCTGTAAAGCCAGTACTTCTATGGGGAAAGGAAGCAGAGATGAAGCACGAAGCGCTGACCAGAAGTTTGTGGGCCAGCAAGCTTCAAACATGCAGCTAGCTTGCTCTCTCTCTCTCTCAACAAAAATTTTAAATAAAGAAAAGGGCTCATGAGATGGCTCAGTGGGTAAAGGTGCTTACTGCCAAGCCTGTCAACCTGTGGGACCCATATGGTACAAATTGATTCTCACAAGTTGTCCTCTTGACCCTCCCCGGCCCCGCCACCAAAATTTAAAAAAATACATTAAAAAAAAATTCACTCTGAGCATGTGCTATGTCTTGATTTTGCTCACAATTGGGATTACTAATGGCCACAGTGCTTAACAGGAAATTATGCACTCTTAACTGAATAAATGTAAATGTTTTCACACAGTATTCAAAGCCCTAAAATCTACATGGAGTCAATGAAAATTAAAAAATTCCTAGTATTTTTCTCGAGTCAAATTTAAGTCCTCAAATAGACCATAATACTGAATGCCATTTCCTACCAAACAAGCTTAAAATAATGCCTTGAGACAAACAGTGGGAATTTTAATGAGTTAAAAACAGGAATAGTGGCCAGTGGACACTGGGGACAATGTACCAGAGAAGCCACAAACATTTATGCAAAGACCCTTCACAGGTCCCGTGCTGACTCTTAAAACTGGCATGTTCACAGTGTAACTTTGGGTAGCCTACCAAGAATACCCAAGTCAAAACTTCAGCAGCTACAGTGCTAGGGAAACTGAACTCAGACAGTCAAGGGGGAGGGGGTGGTTGAAAGTCCTAACTTTCAGATAAAAGTCATATCCTAGGACTATTGTGGCACTATAAGGTTTAAGTCTTACTAGAAAAGTAAAACTGAAACACATCTAAGAAATACTAAAAGCAAGCCTTGACAGTGTCAAGAATATCTATAGATTACCTCCAAAAATAAAACTCTCCCTTCTTCAGAAGAGGACAATATAATCTTAAACTCCTATGAGAATTAACTACAGTACAGCAACTACCAATTAATCAAACATTACAAGGCATGCAAAGAATTTTTTAAGTGACTAATGGTTAAGAGATCATAATCCAAAGATTATTCAGATAATGGAGTTACCAGAAAAAAACTTATTATGATTACTATGGCAAAATAAAAAGATGAAGAGTGGATGTATCTGTTTGTTGGTGTTTTTGAGACAGTCTCTCTGTAGCCCCAGCTGGCCTAGATCTCACAGAGGATTAAAGGTGTGTATACCTGGCCAACAATGGACATATTTAAAAAGGAATTAAAATCTATTCTTCACAAGAATCAAGCAGATATTCCCAAACTGCCAACTACATACAATATCTAAAATTAAGAGCTCATTGAGCTGGGCATGATGGGGCACACCTGTAGTCCCAGCTACCCTGGAAGTCAAGGCAAAAGGATTGTGAGTAAGCTGGAGGCTGGCCTGGCCAACACAGTGAAGAGCTTACTGAATGAGGAAAGAGAGACTGAGCTCAGCAGAACAATTTGTGAATTCAAAGGTAGGTCAAAAGAAAACATTCAAACTGAAGCACAGAAAAGGCAAATAATGAACTTCAAAGAGAAAGAATGGAACAGAAGCAACATGTAAAAATTCACCAACTCTAAAAAGTCAACTCAGATTCAAGCAGCTGAGGGAATCCAAAGCAGTATAAATGAAAAAGATACCCGGGGGAACTGGGTATAGTCAAGAAAGTTTTCATGAAAGCCACATAACTGCTAACTTCTAAACAGAAAACCACACTACAAGACAACAGAATGACATTTTAAGTACTAAAGGGGGGAGGGAGGGGACCCATTTCATCTCACAGTTTGTCTAAGGAGCTGGGCCACAAACCATGGATTCAAAGTAAAAGGAATACCAAAGAAGCTTTCAGCCAGGAGGCCTAAGATTCTAGATGGGGGGCTGGAGAGATGACTCAGCGGTTAAGACCACTGGTTGTTCTTGCAGAAGACCTGGGTTTGAATCCCAGCACTCACATGGCAACTAACAACTAACTGTCTGTAATTCCAGTGGCTGTCCTCTGCAGGCATTGTACGACATGGGTGCACTTACCTACATGCAGGCAATACACACATACACATAAAATAAAAATAAAATTTTTTTAAAAGTTAAAAAATATTCTAGATGGGAGTATAGAGATGCAGCCTTCCTCTCAAAGTTAAGTTATGTAAAGTAGCCACCTTTTCTCTAAAATACTTAGGATTAAAAATGTTTCAGTTTGCTTTTTTACATTCTGGAATATCTGCATAAATACAATGATACCTTGGGGGATGGGGACCTAAATATAGGCAGTACATTCAAATATTTATTATTCAAATATTTGTATCAAACACACATTATGAAAGGAGGCATTTTGCACAAAACTGTAAATAATTTTGTGCATTGAACAAGTATATATATTGAAATTGAAAGGGTTGGAAAATTATTTCTTGCCTAGAGACCCTGAAGACACTGTGTTGTACACCTGCATTTTGACTGCAACTCATCACAGGCATGAAGTTTCTCTCTTGTGGCATCATGTCAATCCTCAAAAGACTGGAATTTTAGATTCAATCAACACTCTGGAAAAAGGCAGCAAATCCTCTGTGAGATTGAGGCCAGCCTGGTCTACATACAGAGCTCCAGGCCAGACAAGAATACAGGGAGATCCTGTCTCAAAAAAACCCAAAATAGATGTAGCCCAGGCTGGTCCTGAACAACACGTAGCAACAGGTGACCTTGAACTCTTTTTTTTGTCTGTTCCTTTGTTATGCTGACCAGGCTGTCCTCAACTCACAGAGATCTGCTTGCTTCTGCTTCCTGAGTAGTGGGATTAAAGGTGAGTGTCCTAGGGACCCAAACTGTCCATGCTCCTGTCTCTACCTTCTAGGTGCCAGAATTACAGGCACACACCATGACTGCCTTGAAATTACATCTTAAATGCCCATGGTTTACTGTGTTTTCAGATTTACAAATCACTTGAAACAAAAGGTTAATGGCTAATTTAATACATTATGGCTATTCTGAAAATATTAGAACACATTTTAAACTTAATAGACACTTGACCTTAAAAGGCCACAGTACAGTAAGAACATTTCATGTTTGTGGAATAGAGAAGAGCAAAGCCATAGGATAGTACTGTGCCTATCTAGAAGACAGTGGTACCCGAAAGAGAGGGAGTATAAAACTGAGGAGTTAAGACTGGTAAATTGGAGAGAATATGAAAGGCCTCTTGCCTCTCACTGTGTGGGCAGTGGATGCCATTAGCTGTCAGGTCAAGTCAAGTCAGATAAAAAGACTATCAACTAAGTGC